TACAATCAGACCAAAAAGTACAAAGAAGGATCTTCAAAAAAACCGTTAAAAAAATTCAATTTAAAACAATAAAATCAATCATCTTATTGATGAGCAGTCCGAATCGTTTTTGATTAAATGATTGTAAAAATTGTGATGATTAGGATGATGAAAATGAATCTGCAATTGCAATTAAAAACAGGTGTTTTTAATTGCAATTGAATGTTTTAATATAAGATATTGTAACATTCTTTTAAATATAACACTGGCATTGATATAAGTTTATGTTTAACTGACAATAACATAAAAATAATTATGCAATGGCAATCGGAAACAGGTCAATGTTAAAATATAAAGTATTATAATATTCTTTTAAATATAACACTGACATTGATATGTGTTTATGTTTAACTGACAATAACATAAAAATTTCTACTTTTCAAGTTTATTTTTCTGTTATCAGTAAATTATTTTTATTATCAGTCGATTTGTTTATTAGGCATGTTTTAATAATAAGCTAGCTGTATTTAAGAAACAGTTTGGTGGCAATTCATTATAATAACATTTGGTACTCTGCTAAAGTTACAAAGGTAAAATTTTGTATTTGGTTTATTCTGAAAACCTGCGTTGTATAATGACTTGGAAACGTTGTGCTTTTAGAAGCGAAACAATTTTCAAATTTAGTTTTTTTTATTTGTTTGTTTGTTTAAAGTGCCCCAAGAAGTCCTTACGGTTTTATCACAGAGCACCGTGGAAGAGCATTTAAAAGAAAGTTCACTCCTCCTTCTTTACCGATGTTATAAAACTTGCCCAGAGGTGGCGTTGAACCAAGAACCTTTAGCTTCTAAGGCAAGCGCGCTAACCACTGCGCAAAGGCTGCTAAAAGTTATGTTGTTTGATCGTTTGTTTCGCTATTTTATATTGATGGGAGTCTGTGATTAGTGTATAGAGTAGATAGCAGCTAGTGAAGAAAACTGTATCAAACGGCCAGCTAAAGAAAAATCTGAATAATGAAACTTTGGTTCAACTTGTCTCACCTATTCCAATAACTTAAAAATCTTATTTTATTGTACCTAAAAGAAAATTTACATTATTTTGAAAGAATATAGCATAACATAGTTATGCTAAATTCTTTCAAGATAATGTAATAACAAGTTTTACATTATCTTGAAAGAATATAGCATAACATGCATAAATAATTTTAAATTGATAAAGTATTATGAAAAAAAAAATCAGGATTTTTATTTTTCAAAATGAATCTTGTAGAGTATAAGTTAAGATCCGAGTTTTTTGTAAATAGCAGTCTATAATTTTATAAACATATAAGTTTTAAAAATTTTTTTAAATTTTTTGACTTCAATATTTCTTGACTTTTTATTGACAAATTTTTGACTTCAAAAAAAGCAGCCGTGGCGCAGTGGTTAGAGTTCTGGCTCAGAACATAGAGGTCTCAGGCTCGACGCCAGCTCTAGCTCAACAAGCGACATTAGTATGGAAGGAGGCGTGAACTTCCTGTTAAGGTGAGTTTCCACTCATCCGTTTTTTTACGGGAACGGGATGCATATTTTGAAACCCTATACAGGCTCAGAATAGGCAGAAATATGTGCAATCTGATTCGCTGATTTTGAAAGAGAGGCAAATGCGCTTTATTTAAAAATAAATTTAATTTTTTTTTTAATTGGAAATAAATTTCATAGTAATGATGAACTAAGTTTATCAATACAAGTCTTGTGTTACTATCAACATAGAAATTTTATTTTATTATTCTTTAGAATATTTAAAAGGTATCAAAATCTATTTGTAACAGAGAATTTTCACTCGTAAAAATCTCAAAGTTTCAATAAAGTTCATCTTGGTGATGGAGGTTTTATCTGTTGTTAATTTAAAGAAATAGAAAAAAGTGTAATTCGAAAAGATCTTGTGCTGATTCTTATAATTATTATTATCCTTATTGAGTTTAGTTATGTTTATACTAAAACTAACCTGTTTGTATATTTTAGTTTACATATTATTATATTAAGAATAAAGCCTTCTATGTTGGCTTAGAATTAATTATAGACTATTTCATTTACTACACTACAGATCTATAAATTTATTTCTCGCAAAATATGTTCTTGGCCTTAAAGCATACTCAAATACAAAGTTTATATACAGTTGTACAAGACTACTTGTGAAGTACTTTTGCATATGAAGATTATATGCAGTTTTACCAGACTACTGATGAAGAACTTTATTTATAAATTGATTTATACGTTAATTATAAAGAGTTGAACATTAGAGTTTTTAAATAAAGAAAATTTGTACTGATTGCAAAACTAGCTTACATGTTCCATGTCAATATATGAGTTTTGAGGAGATTTTGTTTTCATGTTTTGTTTCAACTATTGTTTGGAGGAGACTGATTTACTTTTTATTGCATAGCTCTAATAAAACATCATCTTAAACCATTAAACACTTTTTAAAAATTAAAAAAAAATTTTGGCAGGCAATATTAACTGTATGTATAAAATATTATTTGAAAGTTTAAAAACAGAATTTAAATTTATATGTTTGTCTGCTGAACAGTAATTTTTTTGTGAAGTTACATATAAACAATAAAATTAAAAGCAAGAAAAAGTATTAAAGGCAAATATTTTTTTTTTAAATATCTTCGCTTCCAACAAGGCTGCAAGCAACCACTAATTAGTGTTGGAAGTTACTGGAAGAGAAAAAATGAAGATTGTAGAGCAAGATAACGATTGACAGACGACTTAAAAGATTGCAAATTATATGAATCAGCAAAGCATGATGAAGGAAGCGAATTCCAAAGAATGGTGTTTGAGGAAAAAAACTAGACGAATAAGAGTTTTTGCAGCACTTAGGAACAGTAACAGTGAAATATGTTAACCAAATAAAAAAAAACAGTAACAGTAATATATGTTAACCAAATAAAAAAAAGAACAAAATCAATTGTCATGCTATGATTATTTTTGTTATAATAAAATATGTTTTGTATGTATAAACTCTTGAAATATTTAACTTGAATTTGCATGTGTGCAATTTTGCAAAGTTTCAAAGTGTTTTCTGTCAAATGTAATGTCTATGTTCTATAAAGCATGGTCAATACAAAGTTTATATACAGTTGCACCAGACTATTGGAAACGTACTTAAAGTATGCAAAGTATAAATTTTCAGCTGAGGCAGAGGTTGTTCTATGCTCGTTACATCTTTACACTGTCTTGTTGTTAATTATAAATAGTTAAACATTTAGGTAAAAAAAAAAAATTACAGATATTTTACCAAACTAGCTTACATGTTCCATGTAAATTTACAAACTCTGAAGAAGTTACTGTTTAACCTAAATATTGAGAAGGCTGATAAGACGTACATCAATATTTTTCTTTACTTAACTTTAATAAAACATCATCCTTAAACCTTCTAACACTTTGTGAAAAATTAAAAAAAGTTTGGCAGGGTGTTTTAACTTATATATATAAATAGGATGAAAATTTTATATTAATAATCTATTGGAAAATTTAACAAAAAAAAAGTGATATTTATTTGTTTTTCTACTGAACAGTTCTTTTGTTCAGTTACATTTAAGCGTTGATAATACAAGCTAACAAAGAGAATTGAAGTTAAACAATTTAACCAAATTAGGGTGAATTATTGCAATTATTGTTATAAAAAGAACTTGATCAAAACAAGCTTTTACATTTGAAGAAGCAAGTTTTCAGAGAAAAAAAATAATATTACTTCAAGATAAAACATAACACATCTCTATTTTTAAATTATTATACAAGAGGTATTCACAGAAATTCAAAAAAAGGACACTTGATTTTATTGGTTATTCCAAAGATTACATAATAAAACTATTAATAAAATTTGGAAACATGAAAGATAAATATTTCTGCCTAGAAAAATGAAAAGAAAGTGTTTTTTTTTTTCTTTTTTTTAGAGAAGATATTTTTTTTTCTTCAGGATTATGTAATGTAAAATAAATTAATAGCATGTTGCTTTATTTAATTTTATTTACCATCAGTTGCTATTTAAGACTAAACGTTTTTTACCAATTATAGAATTCAATAACCAATATTTTGTTCAGGTTAAAAGCTATATATCAATAAACACGTGCTTTATATGTATTGTCTTTTAAAATTGAAATAAACAACAACATAAACTTGTATTTTTGCAATTTTTCTTGTTTTTTTCTTGTTCTTGGTGTGGTAAGTTAAGAGTTGTTCATTTTTGTAATCAGTTTACTATATCAAAACACACTTGTGGACATCAGGTTATAAATTTTTTCTTATAGCTTATTATGCTACAATGCTTTGTAATCTTTTATTACAATACATTACCAATGCCAATCTAAATCAGCTCTTGTTTACAATTGCTATTAATTTGAGAGTGATGTAAATTATCTGGGCTAGCTACAACAACCAATAAGCAATATTCTCAAACTTAAAATGTTTTAGTGGTGTATACAATTTATAAATGGGAATAATAAGTGTAAAAATTCTGAAAAAGATAAAGTATTTTAAAAAAAAAAATTTTCTTGCTAAATGATAGGATTAATGGGAACTTAATTTGAAAAAACTTATACCAAGTTTATAATATTTTATTGATATTACTTGGTAAAATTTTAAAACTGTTAGTTTTAAATTTTACCAAGTAATATAAATAAAAGCATAGTAAAGTTTTACCATCTGGTTTATTTATAGTTTTAAAATTTTACCAAGTAATATCAATAAAAGCATAGTAAAGTTTTACCATCTATATTGTACAAAAATGAATAAAAAAATCTTTTTTTTTGTCATTATTATTTGGCAATTACTTTATTTCACTTTTATTATTCAATACGTTTTTTGACATTTGTTTTGATTTAAACTTAGGCGCAAAAGCCTCTCTTTCAAAATTGGCGAATCAGATTGCGCATATCTCTGCCTATTCTGAGCCTGTATAGGGTTTCAAAATATGCGAACGGGATAGGAAAGGGAAAAATAATCACGTGAGCATGCGTAGTTTTCCTTCTACTACACGGACTTAAAAGAGACATTTTTTTTTTTGTAAAAATGGCGTACCGTTATCGAGTAAGAAATCCTCGTCTTCAAGCAAGAGTCTTTCTTCCTGACTGGTTTGTTAAAATTGTTAGACCAGGAAAAGAAATCGCCAAAGATACTGTACAATTGCACGTACCATTAGAGTGAGTTTTAATAAAGTGAGAGTGTTGTTACGTAAATGTCTTATATGTAAATTATCAAATTAGATTTTCATTTTATCTAGGATTTTATATAAATTTCATTAATAAAATTAAATTTAGCATGGGGAAAGTTGACATAAAAAACTACATGGAGAAGATTTATAATGTTCCTGTAGCTAAAGTCAATACTAGAATACAAGCTGGTATCTTATATTTTTAATAGACTTTATTGTTATTATTCTATTAAAATAAAAGACTAAGGGTATTTTGTTAATAAACCGTAATATTAACAATCTTATAAAGCATGTACTTAAAATTACTGCAAAGTTTTTATTGCTTCTCAGAAAAATAACACAAATAAAGCAAACACAATAATTTGCAACGAATATTACAAACTAAATTCTCTAATTTATCTATTGTTTGAAATATCCATTTGTTTACTTTGTATACACATATTTTTTAGGAATTTATGGATTTTTTTAAAATATTTTTTGAAGTTTATTACAGAAAACAACTCATTAATTTAAGCCCTACAAATTACATTTGGAATAAAAAAAGTTTCCAGCGCTTCTCAGAAAAAGAATTAAACTTCAACAAAGATTTTTTAAATCTTAAATAATGAAAATTTACAGTGATAAATTATAAATTTTAATAAATAAGGTTAGGTGTCACTCATATAGTTGAAAACTAGTCAATGGAGTGAAACCTAAAAAAAAAGAAAAAAGGAAAGAAGAATAAGCAACAAAAACAAAAAAGAAGATTAAAAAAAAAAGAGAGAGAATTAAAGGTAATAGTATTTATAAAAATAATAATAGTAACAATAATATGAATAAAAATAACATAAAAAATGATAACTGCAATATAGCAACATAAAAAAAATTATAAATGATAAAGCAATAGTAAGATAATTATAGTATAGTTAATAATTATAAAATAAACAATTTAAAGAATAGTTATAACAATAATGATAAAGCTACTGCAACTACTGAACTACTTTGACTATTATTATAGGTAATAATATTAAGGCAACAAAAACAAAGGTATATAAATAATAATAGTAATAACAATAATAAAAATAGTAGTAGTAACAATGTAAAGAATAGTAATAACAATAAAAATAATAAAAATAAGTGTAATTAATTAATATATTGAAGGAATAATTATAAAAGATACCATTAATATTCTTTAGATATTTGCTCACATAAAAATTTCTTAATTAGGTTTCTATTAAGAAGAAGAAAGTTAGTAACAAAAGGGTATTTTTTATAAAAGGTATTAATTGGTTCCAGTGAGAAATACATTGATGTTTTATGGAGAGGTTGCCATACTTGACAGTATTGAAAAAAGATGGGTGCAAATTACCATTTATAGTAGTATTTATTTGTATCACTTGATACACATAAATACTATACTCGATTTACTATAAATTGATTTTAATTGAATCATTTGATAATTCCAAGATAGGTTTTTGTCAAGAAATACTCCGAGATATTTTATAAATTCAGAAGGAAAGATTCTTTTACCGTTAATTTTAATTTTAACATTATCATTACTAATTTTTTTTTTTTGGAGGGTGAAAAATAATGAATTCAGTTTTGTTGATATTTAGAGAGATACGATTACTATTTAACCAAAGACACAAATGATTGAGATCTGAATTAACTTTTTTACAAAGCTGAGTAAGTGATTTATTTATGCATAGAAGATTGGTATCATCAGCAAAATGGTGAACATTGGAATTGCTTATAGAGTGAGACAAGTCGTTTATATATATTAAAAACAGCAAAGGCCCAAGAACAGAACCTTGGGGGACACCATATTTAATAAATTTTTTGGAGGATTCAAACCCATTAATGGAGACAAACTGGCTACAATTTTCAATATATGATGAAAACCAATTATTAATGGTACCCTGTATACCATAGTAGTATAACTTTTTAATTAAAATCTTGTGGTCGACCATGTCAAAAGCTTTTTGGAAATCAATAAAGATGCCACAAGCAAATAAACCACTATCGATTGCACCACGAATCATTTCAGTAATACTAATAAGAGCATGGGAAGTAGAGTGTTTTAAACGAAAACCAAACTGGCGGCCATATAAGCACTTAGAATTATCAAGAAAGTGGTAGATACGAGAATACATTAATTTTTCAAGAATTTTGCTGATATTAGATAATAATGATATTGGTCTGTAGTTATTACAGTCAAGTTTTGAGCCCTTTTTATGAATTGGTTTAACAGATGCTGTTTTGAAAATGTTAGGAAATATACCTGTAACGAATGAGAGGTTAAATAGTTTAGAATGTAATGGAGAAATATCCCAAGCAAGAAATTTAAGAATATAGGTTGGAATGCTGTATGGACCAGAAGCTTTGCCATCATTTAGAAAAAGAATAATAAATAAAATTTCATTTTCATCAATAGGTTTAATGAATATAGATTCAAGGTTTGGTGTTTTTAAATAGTTATAGAAGTTAGTATGGGATGAGTGAATGTTTTTTTGCAATTCGTTAGGTATTGAAATAAAGAATGAGATTCGTCAGGTATTGAAATAAAGAAGTCAATTAAAAGTTTTAAAAATATTTTTTTCAGAAGTTTAGAAAAATTTGTTATAAGTTAAGTAATACAAAACTTTTAAACTTTTTATATTTAAATAATAATTGAACTATTTAAAAAAAAGGTCCCTCTACCGTGGTTTTTTATGTGGTAATTTATATAAACAAAAATTTTAATTATCAAGAAATCAGATTTATTTTGAAAGTAAATAAGATTTATTATAGCAATTTTATCTTAAGTTTAGAAATAAAAATTTGAAAAAATTTTTTTTAATATAAAATAATGGTACTTTTGTTTTTGTTTAAATTTAAATTTTAAAGTAGAAACAAAAAATAAAACTATAAAACAGATCTAAATCTTATTAACCTGTTTCTGCATTCCTTATAGCTAGCTGTGTATTGATTATTTTGTATTATAAATAAATATAATCAATAATCTTGTTAGCTTACTAAAGGATATTGCATTAGTAATCTATGTTTTTTTAACTAATAAGTTTGGCTGTGAACAAAGCTTCATTAAAAGTACTTATTTAAAGCTAAATTAGTATTATATTTACTAATATATATATATATATATATATATATATATATATATATATATATATATATATATATATATATATATATTATATATATTATATATATTATATATTATATATATATATATATATTATGTATATTTGTTATTACTTACTATTATGTGTATGCTATAGTTTTAATTTGGTTCGCTTTTTTAATTTAATTTTTGTTTAAGGAAAAATAAAAACTACTCAATGGAGAAACGATGTTATAACTAGAAAGACTGCTGATATTAAAGTTGCTTATGTCATATTAGTAAGATTCAAAATATTTTTTATTTTGCAATATCGAAATTTAACTTTTATTTTATTATACCTTAATTTAAAAATAATTAACACTATAGACTTTTTATATTTACTTTTTTTGATGATTGATTCAAATCACTCATATATAAAATATCAGAATCAATGAAAAGTTATATATTATAGAAATATATAAAATATCAGAATCAATGAAAAGTTATATACTATAGAAATATATAAAATATCAGAATCAATGAAAAGTTGTATATTATAGAAATATATAAAATATCAGAATCAATGAAAAGTTATATATTATAGAAATATATAAAACAAAGCAGTAAAGTATTTTTAGTCACTGTTATATATCTTCAAGCTTAAAACAGATTTTCAAATAAAAATAATTTGTTATTTTTATTTGAAATAAGTTGTTACACTGGGTCATAACTTGCAATTTAGTAGTCAATAAAATTTGGATTTTATTGACTATCGGGACGTTAACTAGAATATTAATTTTAAATTCATTTAACCTGTCTTTGGGAAATTTACATTCTGTGCTGTGTCTTAAGCAAAATGAAAATGTTTACACATAATATCATTATGATGATCTTTTATATCAATAAATTGTACAAAAAATGAAAGAAAAAATTAATTATAAAGAAATTTTTATTTACAATTTATTGCTTTTTAAATTGTCCTCAGAATATTTAAATACATTGTCTAAAAGTTCTTCTTTTAGACAATGTATTTAGAGAAGAATTTTGAATGTTACTTGCTCAAATTGGTTGTACAGGCAACGCCTCTAGAAATTTCATTCTAGAAAAAATACATTCTATGCAAGCAGTATTAACTGGTAAAATCATTAACAGGTGCGATAACTTTAAACAGTTTTGGTATATTTCTTTAATTACATTATTGTGAATGCATTTGCTCTTTTTTTTCTGGTGCAAAATTGTTGAGTCTTTCATAGAATTTTTTTTCCTGATTCTTTGCTTTAATAATTTTCAAATAAATACTTTCTCTTGAACAACTTAGCCTTCTATCATTGTAACATCCATTATAATATCAGCTTTCTAAAAAGGTTATTCTCTTTTAATCACTTCTTATCTATCTATACCATAACACTCTACAAGAGCATGGATCTCTTCTGCATTGTACAAATCAACTTCTTCCTCTGCTTTATGTAACTTCCATGGGTTAAAAATAACACATTAGCAAACCAAAGCATTTGTTCAGCTTGAGTTTTAGTTAAAGTTTGTTATATAAAACATGAGTTTTGGTTAAAGAAAGTTACCTGAAGCAGAGAAGTTTAGTCTGTACGGTGAAAAAGAGATCCCTAGTTTTGCAAAGTATTATTGTACTGATTTCAACTTTGAAAACAGGTACAAATTTTTTTAAATGTACTTTATTCATAGACTTATATAAAGAGGGGAGATACAGCTAAAAACACATCACTAAGCAAGAGTAATATGGCTGAAAACTCTTTTGAGTCAAGGGCAGCAAATTTTTAGATTCAGTTTTATGTTTGGATTTTCTTACTGTCACACTTGCAGGTAAGCTGAACCAAGATCTGAAAATTGTGCCTATGCGCCCAATACTTTGTAACAAGAACCAACGTGACATGGTTACATTTAGTGCAGTTGTTATAAATCTCTAATGGCAAGATTGCATCTGGTATCATTTCCCATACATTAGTTTACTATTTACTTAGTACTTTGTTTCTGCTTCATTTTTGGTAGCATTTTAGTGATGCATTCATAGTTGACAAATGCCTCAAAACAGCATGATTGGGGTGTTATTCTTACAATTGTTTATGTTGCCACAACTTCACTAATATTTTCCTGATTAAATTAGGGTTCCTTTGTTTTTTCTTTAATTTTTTTATCATCTGTATAGAGATTCTCGTTTGACTTTTTAAAAACATAAAAAAGTTTTTAGATAAATTTTTTTTTTATTATTTTAATCTTGTTCTACAGTAGTTATGTTTTTCCACTATGGTTACTTAATTGTTAATCATTACGATCATTATTTTATTTATCTTTTTAAAATTTAATTTAAATCTTTTTTATAAACTTAGTTATTAAACATGGATTTTCAATTTACACTACTTTTCAGAAAGTTGTGTAAAATGTTGGAAAATTACCCCCCGTTACATACAATTGTTCATAAAACAGATTAAATAGAGGCTAGTTAACACACTGTATATGTTTAGAATTTTTGTCAAAATATTAATAAGGCATTTATTTATGTCAGCTCTCTTGTGGTGTTTCAAATGAAAAAAGTTTAATACTTTAGTACATATTTTGTAACTATCTGAAAAGGTATTGATTTTTGACAACTTTGATATTAAATTGATTTTTGTCTTTTAAATTAAATTAGCCTTCTAAGTTTTTGTATCTTTTTCTCCTTTTGTTATTGTTCTTTTTTTTTTATATAGCTTCTTGCTTTTACAATTTTTTCATTTAGTTTTTCCTTCTCAAATTGTTCAAATTAGATTGTATTGCTTTTTAAGATAAATACAAAAAATACTTGGTAAATAAAATACTTTTTGACTGTTGTTTAACTTGAGAGTATATATGAGTCTATGAATAAGACAAAATTTCATTGTCAATATTTTAGCTGAATCAATTCTACAAGGCTTCATTTAGTATTGGATTACGATGGAAGACCATTGGTCAAATAACTAGGCTGGCTAGTTGTTTTATTAGGCATAGGACTTGGTTAAACAATGGTTTTAATTTTTCTCTTAACCTAATTGATGAAACTTTAAAATCTACGCTTAAAAATCTTATCTCTCCTAAAGATAATATGCACTATAAAAGTGCATATCTACTATAATATAACTTCCTTATATTGGGTAAAACTTAAATGATTATCAGCATCAGTTAAATAAATATATCCAAAATTATTGTAAATATCAAATAATACTTTTAAAATTAGTGGTTTCAATGAAAGACTATTTAATAATCTAAAATATTTTTGTTGTATACAAAATACAACAAAAAGATTTTAGAGTTGAAGAAAAATTTAATTGCTGCAACATCTCCTTAATTTTGATTATAGCATTTATTTACAGTTTTTCTGAGTCGTTTGTTTATTAAATAGTGTTAAAACATTTATCAGACAATGCACCTTAGTGGCCAATGTAGTTAGCTCGCAGTGTTTCTGAAGTGAACCGCCGTGGTGTAAAAAGCTTAAATTTTTTAAAAACATCAAAACACTGGTAGTAATTTGTTGCGCATATGTCATGATAGTGATAGTTATGTTATTAATTTGCTCAGGTAATTAGTCCTAGTAAGCTATGGATGGTCTGGAAAAAAAATTATGCTCTGAAACTTAATAAAGAAAAAATTTAATAAGCCTGTCCTGAGCTATCAAAGATATGCATTCAGGAGAAAAACAAACCATTTTATATATCTCTTATAAGCTTTACATATGCTGAAAAGGTGCACATAATAATTTTTTTGCTCTTAAAGCAATTTTTTTTTTTTTTTTTTTAACGATGTTTCTGCCTTTGACTAAAAAATAGTGAAGTAAATAAAGAATAAGTATAGAAAAGATAAGTGTGGAATAGATATGTATAGAATTGGTTGGTTTGGTAAAGATCCATAATTTACTGGTCCAGAAAGCTAGGATGTATATATAAGAAAAAAGTATAGAAAATATCAGTGTGGAATAGACTTACAAAGACCCATATTTTTATGGGTCTTGTCAGCTAGTATATAAAGTTGATAGAAATGCACAGAGGAAAAAAAGGCAAAATGGCAAAAAAAGAAAGGTGAATTGTAGCAATACAAAACTTCAAGAAAAAATCAGAGGAAACAAAAATGTATATTGGTTGTATATTGTAAATGCGTTGTATATATACAAACATGCGCACAAATACAAATACACATCTAACCCGATATCAGCAAAAAAAATTGTTTACATTTTTTAAGGAAGGTAGTTTTTTTAAAAACAAATGTTTCATTTGTAAAGACTACTGTGGACTCTAAGCATCTCACACCAAATTGCCTGTTATGAAACAATGTTGTAAAGGAAGTCTTTTTAAAGTTGGTAAAAAACTGATTGGTCATCTTATCTTGGACACCATTTGAATGGATGCATTAATTGGTTGCCAGTGAAGCTGTGCATTATTCTAGTTAATTTTAACTACTTCCAATGAATAGACAGTATGCTAGTTTGATAAACCATAGCCATTTAAATAAGACACAGTAAAATATATTAAATTTAAATATGATATTTTTCTTGTTTGTTTGTTTTTTATATTATGATTAAAAAATTTTTATAAATTTTATCTATTTCAAAACCTGGTTTTAGTGAACTAAAATGTCGTAAAGTTTCAATGTACGTTACAGTTTCATTGAAAATGCAATGACAACTTGAGACATGCATACAAAATTGATTGAACTTGCTGGGTCGGATAGCAATGTTTATTCGATGAAACAAATGAAAAGAAGGTTAGAGTTATAACATCAAGACATCATTTTTAAAGTGATGAAAAACCAAATCTGATTTATTTCAAAGATGAAGCAAATTAGGAAATCTATTAAGTAAAAAGTCAATATTAGTGAATGTGAAACAATAGTCAAAACAGATGTAAAGTTTATGATAATTATTTCAGTAAGAAAGCGTTTCCATCAAATTCAGATTTTGAAAATTATCTGAATTATAACTTAATCATATTTTTATATGAGTTTTGCAAAGTTCTTTTAATTCTTCAACCAAATAATTAACAGAGTCAGACAAAACCAACAATGTTTTTATTAATTTTTAATTAGTTTTATAAAACTTATGCAACATTAGTTTTTGCTCTAATATTTTCTTAAAATCTTAGTAAATTATTTCAACATTTTTTATATATTTCAAAATCTTTATGCCTTAATTCAAAAAATCCAGGTCTTGCTGACAGAATTGCACAGTAAAAGAAAAATATTTTTTTAAGAGGTCAAAAAAAAAAAGATTTTATCCTTTTTTAAATTATCTGTGTCATGGTATCTTTCAAAATGAGTCTCAAAAATAAAAATTCCAATAAAGCACACTGTTTAGCATGTAAAAACTGCGCATCTTTATTGTGGATTTCTCAATTTTAAAAAGTTTTCAAAATATTAGGATATATTAAAGATTAAATTACCCAGAAATCTAAAAAATCCAAAAATAAACTTAATCAACTTGAATTTATTAAGACAAAATCAAAAATATTGTCTATTTATTAGCATCAAACAAGTACAAAATAGTAAATAGAAATACTCGCCTAATAGAAACGCTCGTAATAGAAACGCTCTAGAAATATATATATATATATATATATATATATATATATATATATATATATATATATATATATATATATATATATATATATATATATATATATATATATATATATATATATATATATATATAAATTTTAAAAGCTAGTATGGGAATAATCATTCGAGTTGTAATAGTATTTTGAATAGAAATTTACAGCTTTAACAGAAAAGTGGCAGGTATTAGAAATACAATGCAATGAGTGCTCAATTTAAGATGGCAATCAAGATGATAGAAATTATGTTGCAATGAAAATTTTCAAAATTATATTGGAAACCAATATTCAGGGTTCTTTATTCAAGGATGTTATGCAGCAAATAAGAATCCTCTCCAATAATTTTTTTTTTTTTTGAAAATGCTTTTTTAATTTTTTTTTTTTGAAAATGCTTGAAGTGAAATCCTCACAAAATTATATCATATATAATAAAACTGTGCATAAGATTAATATAGAAAAAAAAAACAAGTTTTTATTTGAATGTTTTAAATTCTTTTAAATATGTCTGCATTTTAAGATTAGGTTTTTTACAAAAGTTCTTTTTTATTATTTCTATTTTACAAGTTTTTTTTTTTTTTTTATCTTTAGAAAGAAGGTACATTTGAATTTCCAGATATGTTTCCAGAAATTTCTCCTAAAGAAGTTGATGACGATGTAAAGAAAATATCACCAAATGAAAAATCTATTGAAGATTCTCAAAAGGCAGTTGCTACCTGGTTCCAGTAACTTTTCAGTACTTTTATATCAAATGCATCAGGTGAGGATGAACTATGACTGGATCACCAGGTGAGGTGACCATAATAACGTAATTTTATTTTTCGTTTTTTTGTATATTTTGAGTTCAGTTTTGCTAAATTTTTATTTGGCGCCTTAGTGTTAGAAAGTCTGGTTTTGAATTTGAGTAATTTTGATATAAGACGTTTATATTTATTTTATGTTATATAATATTTTTATATGAAACAATATTTTTTGATGTTTACTAGTTGTTGTTTTTTTTTTAGTTATTGCGTTTAAACTTAATTTATTTTTTAGACAGAAATTACTCATGTCAAAAAGCTTAAGGTTGTTAAGTATCGAATCAAGTATTGGTCTCTGTTGGGAAAACAGTTTGCGATTGATTTTGATGAGTACGGTGTGTCACTAACATGTAGCATGTTTTTAATATAACAACATATATTTATAGCTGCTTGTGGTATATCACGTGTATTATTTTTGGATATAGATAAATGCATATAATTTTTATAGAAATCTGTAATTATTAAAAAAATCTTATTTCCATAATGTTTCCTGCATATAAATTTTTTTTTTTAGCAAACTTAATAAAACTTAAATATTTTAATAGTGTAGTTTACACTGTTTCATGGTAAGGTGTAAATTACACTGTTTCATGGTAAGGTGTAAATTACACTGTTTCATGGTAAGGTGGCGATGTTAACGAAGGGTAAAAATGTTCTTTAAAAAATTACTGGTATGGTTTTTCTGTTTTTTATATGGACATGACTTTTGCAAATTTAAAAAAACATTTTAAAAAAAACGTTTGAAAAAGTTTTTGGCGACGTTTAAAAAAGTTTTTGGCGACGTTTAACAAAGTTATTGCCGTTTTAGTAATTTCAATTTAATTCTTAAAACTCGGAATTTATTTGTTTACTCTGTCTTCTCAATAAAATTTATAAATCATTAAACTTTGCAAAAAAGTAGTTAAGGTTTTCAATCAGATTAATGTACTAAGTTCTATAAAAATTACTGAAGGCAGTTAATATTTTGTTGATATATTTAATATCCTAAAAAAATAATTTGAGCCCGAAATCATTTCTTTTTACAACAAAGGTTTTGTGTTTTGAAAACTTTAATGTAAAGTAATTTTTTTTATATTACAATCAAGAGTTTTTTAATTTTATTCCAAACCTTAACGCTTTACGTTAACACGATATTCTAGAATCCTTTTTTAAAATGCCTAACGAGACTCTATTACATTAAACACCTGTGTTTAAGTATATTTGTAATGTTTTCAAAAAGATTCAGATATGGTTGCCTATAGAAGAGACTTAATTACAAGAATTCAAAAATATTTCATTAAGGACGATGATCCTAATAACGAACAATTACGTTCTGTAATTTGTGCCAAATGCCGAATAATCCCTTTTATAAGATTTTAAAAGGAAAGCAAACGATTAATTTGGGGCTTTTAATTTTTTCAAATTTATTTATTCAACTCTAAAACATTTAAATTATTTATATTTCTTAAAATTCTTTGAGATGTTACTTTATTTATACAATTACTTTAATACAATCTTAACAAGTCATGGATACGCTAAGGGGTCGTCCATAAATGGAAAAATATCAGTTTTTTTTCTTGTTTTTCGACCCATTCCCCCTTTGTCGACCTTCAACCTCCTCCTTTTTTCCCTTCTTTTTGCGACTACGTTTAATGAATGCCAAAGCAAAAGAAAGAGAAAAACGTGCAATCTTGTAGTATTTAGTTTTAAAGCCTCGAAAGCTTCAGATTTAACAAGCGCCAGACAGGAAAATTAAAATCGATTCATGACATGCTAAATTCAATTAACGCAAACATAGAAATTAAATAATAAAGTTAAAATCAAAATCCAACGATGAACATTTGTTATTATTCTCAACGATAATAATGATAAAAGTTCTATCCTAAAAGCTAAAGATAAAAAAAAATTAATCGAATATAATCAAGTTTTCATCGATCCTAATTTAGCAATAGCTGAACGATACAAAGCGGAAAATTCGGAATCTTTGGTTTACTATTATCATAATAATAAACCAAAGACTCCAAAGCAGTCATTTCATAATCGCATGAACATAAAATCACGGTTCATTAACTTCTTTGAAAATTGCTACTTCTTTGCGTTATAATAATAACATAATTTAAGCAAACAATTCTTTAAACTAGTAATCAAATGCCTTTAAACAAATTAATCAAGTAAACAATACCTTTAAAAAAAAATAAGTGAGTGATGCTTAATGGCTCCAAACAACAAAAGTATTTAAAAGTCAAACTGTTAAAAGCTTATTAAACTAAATAAAAAATTTTTTACTCTACCCTAAATTCATTAACTGTTTTTCAGTTTATATTTTTTACGCGAGAAGCTTTTCAACGAAATGAGTGAATTTTATCTATACGTCGAGTCAAACAAACATGCTTTAATTTGCGTTTGCGAAACCTTTTTCAAGATTAAACTTAAACCGAATTCTTTGGTTTGTCCAATAAATTACTTTATTTATCGAATACAACTTGGCGGTGAGCTAACCATATACTGCAGAAATTACATTAAATCTACCCAAGTATTAATTACTAAAACTAACACGGAAATTACTTGAATTGATTTATAACTACTTATCACCGTTCTATTCTTTCAGCGATTGATTTAATCTTGAATCAATGATATCAGTTACTACCAATTTTGCCATTTTGCTACTCCATTTATTATTTTTGGAGATTTAATGTTACCTAAAATTGGTATTATCTCTCAGCGATCAAAAATTTTGACCATATTAAGTTTAAACCCCCCTCAATTTGAGGGGGTTACAAATTTTACATGGCCATAACTTTTGAACGCTTAGAAATTGTACAATAATAATTAAAATTTATCGATGAATATAAATTTAGTTGGAAATTGCAAAAAATTTTATTAACTTGTTGCTCTCACGTTTGTGGCAGAGGGGGAGGGGAAATGAAATTTTAGGGATTTTTTGTTCCCAGCCTCCAATCATCGCAATTTTTTGCAAAGTATCATTATTTGACATAAGTATAAATATACAAATTTTTAGATTTGCTTCATGGCTAGAAATCAGCTTTCTTAAATACAAAAAAATGTCACTGTATTTCAGATCACTTTCGTATTAGTATTGATTGTTTTGCTCCAATAAAATTTATCAAAACTAATAAACGGAAAACCTAGCAGATACTTCGTTCCTAATGTGTATACCAAACATACTTATAAAGAAATTCGTACACTAAATATTTATTCCACTTTTGCTCATATTTAAATCAAGTTTTACTTCAAAGATTCTTGCTTAAACAGTGGCTTCAAGCTTTGGTTTGGCCCATCTTTAGAAAGGGATCCATCTCAGATGATAATAATAGAACCATCTCTTTTAGATGCACCAGTTGGAAAGTATTATTAGTTCAAGCATTGCTGACTATCAAAATAGTAATAATCTAATTACATCCAATCAATACAGTTTTTTATCCAAAAGATCTACCTGCACAAGTCTTCTTGAGCCAACCAATGATTAGAATAAAGTTCTAGACAACCATAAAATTACCAACTTGGTGTACATTGATTTCCAAAAAGCATTTGATTCTGTACTTCATCCAAAACTCATGAGAAAACTTGCAATGTATGGTATAAGAAATAACCTCCTTAATTGGATCTCAACATTTTATTCGAATAGATAGATATAAAAGAGTTTGGGTCGGAAATTCACCATTATACAACCATTTAGCATTATAATGTTTTATAGATTAGCGTTTTGAGTATAACGTTACTATTATTATGTGTTAGAATTTACCCTCTAAAATCAGTCATCTTAATTGTTCTCTAATGCTATATGCTGATAATATCAAATTATAAGGCTCAATAAGGATACGGTTCATAGCCTCGACCTATCTATTGTCATTAACAAAGTTATTCTCTGGTTAGAAAAATGACAGTTTTGTAACTAGATAAATTTCAATGATAAACTATTATAAAATATTAGGAGTTCATATCTTAACTTGGTTTGAAAACCCAAGATTTAGGTGTTTTATTTATTTATTTATTTCGTCATATATAAGCATTTTACAATGTTCTCGTTTCCAAGCTTAATAAAATAAATTAAAATATAAAGAATGACAGGAGCAAGTAGAATTGTGTGACCATGGAGCAAGTAGAATTGTGTGACCATGGATCTTTTTACAAATTACAAAAATTATATTAAATGTTGTCCCTACAGTAAACATCCACACATAAAATATTTAAGTGTTTTAAAAGTCATGATTCACGTGTTCTTTTAAAAGCCGTAATCCACGGGTTCTCTTAAAAGCTGTAAATACCTACACAAGACAAGACCTTAAAAACAGCCCTGGATTAACCTATAAGCAAAATAAACAAAAACTTAGGGTAGCAAACCAAAAGGAGCAGGGTGTATATAGGGGGACTTTTTTAACTACTTGCATTTACACAAAAATACGTTAAAATTTTATTTCATACTATATAAAATGTTAAATACTGCCTTAAACTTTACCATTTAATTCAGGGTATAATGTAAATTATGTATAGCTTCATCTACATCACAACCTTAAAAGAACTTTTGTCAGAAATAAAAAACATGAACTCTTGATTGTATATCTATTATTGGTATCGACTTTGACCACCAAACTTGTAATGCAATCATTGTCAATTAAGTGGCTTAGGTATTAGAAAAAGACAAATAGACCAGTTGGAAAATCAAAACAAGGTTTTTAAAAAAATGTCAAAGTTAACAAAGTATTTAAAACCTACAGCTAATCTAGTAACAGAGCAGCAGCAGCAGCAACAAAAATTTTTATCAAATTAAAATTGATATTCTTCAGTGGCATCAACATCAAGAGTAAAAAATGAACAGGAAATATCAGATCCATAGGTAATAGATGTAGACACCCTTTTATTCAGTAATGATACGGTGAAAAATGGTGTGAGTTATGGGGTGAGTTATCTATGTAAGAAAAAACCTTTTGCGTTACTCCTGGATTAAAAAATTGCTAGTCATCATAAAGGTCTTATTTATAAATCATGTTGTGTTTTCTAAGATGGAAAACAGTAAAGATTTTGTAATATTTTTTGAATATGTTTTCTTATTTTATGTTACAACTGTGGTTGCAGTAATGCTGTTAGTTTATAAAAAATAGTTTAGGACACCAGAACCTACAAATGCAGCTTTAAAACTCATTTCTGTCTTAGCTTACAACCAGAGTCAATCAGAGATCTCCACATTTCAAGAAAATGATACAATAAATTTTAAAATAAAGTGTAAAGTGCAAGTGTATTTCATTTGTTTAATATCAGAACTACCAGCTCTACCGGTATGAAGTGATGGTTTTTTTTATGTAAAAATGAAAAACTTTAAATAAAATTTAGCAATTTATGGATAACACACACAAAATCATTGAGCCTTTAAAATCATTTTTCATAAATCGAAAACAAAAAA